ACACTGGGCATCATACACAATAGGATACATATGTTAGACATGTATTAGATAGTATTGGCCTTCTGTACAGTAACTCAAATCTTCCCGAGGCAAGGGCGTTAACTGAGTTCCCTTACCTCGGGAAGATGTTTTGTTTGTTTGTTGTTTAACGCCGAACTCGGCAATGTTCCAGCTATATAACCGCGGTATGTAAAATAATCGAGTCTGGACGAGACAATGCAGTGACTGACATCATGAGTATTGATCCACGCAATTGGGATACGATGACATGCATCAACCAAATCAGCGAGCCTGACCACCCGATCCCGTTAGTCGCCTCATATACGACAAGCATAGTCGCCTTTTACGGCAAACATGGGTTGCTGAAGATCTTCACGGATCGGGAAAATGAAAAACTCACTGAATCCTCAATGTTGCTCCATCATTTCAGTATAGTAGAACACGGGTATAACGAACATGGATAGAACGAACAAACGGATACAACGAATTGTTACAAAATTATCTCCTCTATAATTCCATATAAAATGCGCATATAATATAACGAACTGACAGCGAACTAACGTGTATAGCGAACTGATATCTGATCCCTGACAAGCCCAAATACCACTTATTCGTGACGTGTATAGCGAACTGAGAAATCTCACCGAGTATCAAGTGTCACTGACAATTAGCGGCGAATCAACACACTCAGCGGGGACGACTTAACCCTGCTGAACTTGCTTTATGTTATGAATACACAAATCCCTTATAGAAAGTGCCAAGTGTAACAAATGTTATATTTGGAATAACACTTTCTTAGTAAAGTACAGATTCTAGAACATTTTGGGGGTTGAGCGATTTATTTTGTGTGCTTGCGATTAGGTGCCTAACTCTGGGAGTGTGGGTTCGAATCCCAGTTGGGACTCAACAAAAAGAAGTTCAAGAATCTGTACTTGATGAAGAAACTGTTGTCCGAAACATAACATTTGTTGCTTTATGTTAATCTTACCTGTAAAAATACTAATCATGTCTATCAAACAAACATTAAACATATAAATTTCACAACAAAGAGCAAAGCTGTCAGTGCAGTTACGAAACCGGATCATAAGTACTGTTTATGCTGGCAAAAAGAAACAAGAAAGACATTGTATTGGCATTTTATGTTCCCAAATCAGCATTGAGTATACCATCATTATGAAGAGAGAGTCCATTCTCGAATTCTGCGTGTCGACTGACTTTGGTCCCGCTCTCAAAAGGTTAAAAAACCAACCTGCCAATAACCATGTACATTTGGTTCAAGAATTTAAAAGATGTAGGGAAAGAAGTTCTTTGTAGAACATCTGTGTATTAAAGGGACATTCATAGCCCTGGAGGTGAGGTGAAGTGGGGTTTAACGTCACGCTCAAGATTATTGCAGTTACATGGTGACATGTCGGAGGCGCTGTGCAGAGTTGCGTCCCTTGGGCACGCCAGAAACCTAAGATCGTAGGTTCGAATCCCGGTTCGATCCGATTATGTTTTTAGGTTTGTCAGCACCATACCCATGCTCGTGGGTAAACGTCTAAGACCTGCATCACTTCGGGCCTTCTTCGGCAGTAAGCTGACACGCTGTTCAAAACGGTGGTAAACCCAGCTCATGCACTCTCTCACTAAGCACTTACAGGTCAGAATTCAACATACATAGCTCAGAACACAAAAAACATAGGTCAGAACTCAACAAGTATGGTATTATCATTAGTAGGAAGAGGTATGCCGTGCATGTGTAGAGCCATCAGTTCAGTAGCATCAGGGGAGATGTTAGACTAACATCTAGTTTCTGAAAATGAACGTATCGTACAGAAAAAAAACAGTTGTTAAATTATCTTAATAAAAATGTAATAAAAAGGAGCCCAGAAGCTCTCTGCATTTTCAGATACTGCATTAATCTAGACTTGCCAAACATTATAGACCTGCATGAGCTGTATTTGATATATTTGTATCAGGGTCTGTAAGACGTGAGCGGGGCAAACTGCTACAATGAAGGAAGTAACCTAATACTCCCTGGCTCATCCGCTGCACAGCTCTGCCCTGTTTACAGCCAGTATATGTCACAACCCATTAGACAGCATGTCAGGTTTGACCAGAATACAGATTTTGTTTCAAGGGAATACAATGTTTGTGATGCAAAGTCCTACTGGCAAGACACCAGATTTGTCTGTTAACATACATGATACCCCCCTATGTCAAGGTAGGTAATGGGGGCGAACTCTAAAATGTCTGCTGACCACGCACTCGCTAAGGACCTGCTGACAATTTTATTACAAACAGGAAGCTGCGACTTGCACTGAAGTACAGCACTGATGACATGCCTTTACCGACCTTGGGAATTCCGGGGCAGAAAACCATACACCCATCAGCCGATTTTAATCGTATCCCGATGGTTACACTCATTCGTCACCACTCGCCCCTTTCCGGCTTGTCCCGGAATAACACGAGTTGGTCACGAATGCGTATCTCACACCCCGATCGTTGAATGTTGCTAATGAAATGACAGTATACCATTAGTAATTCGCTTCCATTTGTTTCGGTTAGCAATGTCGTAGCGATATTGCATGTGTTCACTGCAAACCGCATCACGACCGATCACTCCGCATGTAGTTCTCCCAAAATGACGTGCGATTTTGAGAAACGCTTTAATAATTGTTACCAGAAAAGAGTTTTAATACAGAGTAACATTTATTTATGGGTCACGACTGCTGTCAGACGGCGTTGTATAATGCAGTCTGACACGTCGTCACGTGAACTAGAGAAACTAGTGAATTCAGATCCAAGAATGATTCCTCCCGCCTTCCGAAATGACGTATGAGAGGGAGCGGAGTGAACCACTGGCGTCATAGCTGATTATCGACAGACCGCTGTGGTGTAGCTATAAAAGTGGTGCTTGCTGACAACACTAATCACTCATTATGTGACGTTTATACAGTTTACCAACGGGTTTGGGTTTTAAATACATTTTAAACCATTCAATATGTTATCAAATATGGGATTATGACAACTGTTTTCGAATGAAGCGTGTTTGGGTTTATCACTTATAGAGGTCCGTGGGTTTACAAATCCTTATAATATCTATATAATGTAATGCACGCGTGTATAAACGTAAGTCAATGTGATGTTAATATCGCAGCATGAGTGTTGAAGATGCGATCTGGTTTGCGATGTTTGTTCAGATTTCTTTGGGACTGACACGAGTTGCTTCCCTTTACTAATTTAAAACCCAACACGCTCCAATGCATATGAGGAGATGGCAGGGTCGTCGTACATCTTTTTGAAACTTGGCATGTCTGGTCCAGATGTATTTATCCAAAGACGTATAGATATGTAGATCTATATTCCTCTTTGGTTTATCTTATCTTAAGTTTCCAATTTGGGGAACTAAGGCTTTGGATGTTCACTTCAATAGCAGCCCTAAAACAAATCATGCGATCATCTTGAAACTCAATGAATGTAGTAAAACTGCCCGGCACAAGAAAGCTTACAACCATGTTTGTTGGATGATGGCTAAAACTGCAACCAATAAATTATAGTTATTCGATGATGTGTTTGATAGGGGTGTCACAGGCAATGTGTCATGCACCTTTCAATGAGCATACCACAACAGGCGGCTGTTTTCAGTCTGGTAACGTTTGTCATGTTTTGGTTAAATCCAAGATTCGAGTGTATGCTTTCTTTACAGTTTATGTAGAACCTGGGGTTGGTTATTGTCATAAAGAAGGGGATTTACTTAACCTTTTTTGTGTTTTTTTCATTATTTGTTTATTTCTTCACCAAATCAAAAGAATGTCAAACTTGGGTTGCGTATGCAACAAGCTGTTTCACACTAAGAATACAACTTTTATTAAAAAATAACCGCGTCACTGTTTAGTGTTTAGGTGCAGATTTCTTAAGAATAAGGGCGATTCCTTCACTCCAACTACTGACTGAGATTTATCAATGGTTGCTGATGATAAGAATTCGCTGCATGGTACAGTACTGGGATAAAGAAATGTGTAAGAATTTAATACGATACGGCGCGAATGCATGGATCTCACAACACCCTTCTATAACCTTATTTTCCAAATAATGACTAAGTGCGGTCCGCCGGGTTAACAAGAAGTTAAACCCATTTACCCACGTCAAATTGGATTGTTGGAGAAAGTGAATAATTATTTTTATGAAACTGAATTCATTCAAATATAAACAAATGTATTTTTTTAATCTAAAAAAACCAAGTTCGTACATTTAGCATTACCAAAATACTTGCCATCTTTTTACTGACAGAACACATCATAGGACGTTCCTTTGCTAAATATGAGTCTCGATACACAGCCAATGTCCTGTTTAATATACTGGTATTTAGAAACAATTCAGCGGCCTGACTATAATCAGTATTCATCCAATGTGGAAGGATCATGGGTGGGTTGCCCAGTCGTCCGAGGCGCCGCTATTCGCTGGGCTCTTTGAGTTGCCTCTCGTAGGCGTACCAGGATTCAATGGTCGTGGTTTCGAATGCCAGATTTGTTTGACATTCTTTTTTTGCTGTAAAAAGACTTGCACTTCGGATATTCCTCCCACATTAAGCTGACACGCTGTGATGTTCTTGGAATGCAATTACAATCGGCGTTTAAAACCCATCTTACTCACTCCGTTTGTATTATGAAGACCTGGAATTTTTAATCAAGTTTTATTTGATTATAACCGGTAACCCTAAATGCACAGATAATACCCTCGTTTACTACAGTGCATCAATATTATAACAACTGTGCCAAGGAATATTGTGGATAACAACCTCATTACTTTTCACAGAGGCTGAGCGTAATAATCCGAGAAGATATCATGAGATGGACCAGCTCACAATTTTCAGACGGTCGCTCACGCCACAGAAACCACATGTAACTAGTAATAATAACACACAAACTCGCAGAAGAGTTTTTTATTAGTGTAACATCCACAACAAATAACATGAGTTATCTCCCCTTCCATGTTGCTTACTTTTCCACTGGTGGCGCTCATCCATGTGTTGTGACGTCATAGAACGACAACCCAACTAAGGCCCAGATGCAATCGAAGCATATTCCAGGTTGATTTCAGATTACTTGAGATGGCTACGTTCGCAACGCAAGCACAACAAGCTGCAGGATGGTAATTTTGTCTATGGAGAACATCACACACTATTTATAATCTTGATTACTTAGATTGTGTCGATTTAGTTGTCGATATTACTCATTCGATTTGCTTATACCATGAAAATCAAAATGGCGTCTCTCGTTTACAGTGAAGTTAATATGACGTACGAAACGCATTGTTTACTCTTTCGGAGCAACTACTGTTTCAAGATATGTTGCCAATGAAGTATTAATTTGATGTTGACCCTTGCCATAGATAACACACCATTTTCCGTTTAAAATGATCGAGGAATCGACATAATAACGCCATTCAGTTGCCATAGTAGACCACGCGGCAAATCAATATACTATATAGGATACAGTTGGGATAACCTACCAAATATAACTAACCCTGATTATTGTAAATATCTATTATATGTATATGTTATTTATATACCTGAGGCTAAATATCTTTTGTCAAGTAGAAATTTTACGTATTTAGGCAAACTTGAGAAATTCCTCTAGTAATACACTGCTGTCATAAGCACATGTGGTTTAACCTGTCCCGACAGACATTACCTGCATGGATGAACAGTTTGGGGATAACTGCAAATCACACCCGACACTGTTGACTTTGGGATAAATAATCTGAATTTTTGTGCTCACTTGATAGCAAGGTAGTTTACTGGGTGCAGCTTATACCATGTATACAGCTGGTTTGTTTATTTGTTAGATTTATGTGACCTATTTGTAAGTTGTGAGGAAAGCCCACAGTGTGATAAAGACTACAAACTCATTCAATGTTTCACACCCTCTGCTCTTGGAATATTAATGGATACAGATGGATATTTAACATGTTCAAGGCTCATATACCATATACAGATATTTTGCTATGATTGGCCAATCAAATATTACACCGCAATCTTTCTCGTGCCAGATAGTCATATCAGAACTTTTTGCAATATTTCATTTGGGAAACATGAATTTTAGTGATTGGTGTATTTCTGATCCTTTTTATCTTGCCTTTCATGATCACAACCATAGTTCTTTTCATAAAAATTTACCTCAAAATTAAAATAAAAACAGCTACTGAAGAGTGCAAGCTACATTACCTGATCAATACATTTCCTTGCTGACAACATGTTGAAAATAAAAAAATTCTAATATTGAAATTATTATTAGCATGATTAGCCGACCAGGATGTGATACACCATTTTGGTATTATGCCTTAGTGTATGATAGAATGTCCTGTGATTATCTCTGACATGCAGGCTTGTGAAGGACTAATCATGCTAAGAAGTCATCAAATGCAACTCCAAACCAAATGATTATTATTTATGATTAAAGTTATGATTGAGTTAAATTGAATTTTCAGATATTTCTTTTGTTGTAGGTCCCAACAGTATGGTGGAGGTAGTGCAGAAATGAAACCAGAATGGGAAAAAGCTAGAAAGGCTCTGGAAAATATGGGAGCAACCAGTGTCTCCCCACAGAAGGCCAAGAAGAATTCTCCATCTGTTGCACCACCCCCTCCCCCACCACCACCTACTGAATCTGATGGACCTCCAGGTCCTCCTGGGACATGGTCAATGTATGGTCACAACTACAACATGTATCAACCATATACTTACCAAAAGTGAGTTATTTTTCCAAATGGCAAACTTGAATATACAGTAATCAGGGTGAAAAAACAATAAAGTTATTTGAAGTTTTATTAAGTACCGGTTTACCTTTTAGGATGATTTTTTCATACCATTATTAACCGTATCCCTTTAATATTTGAACTGCTAGAGCTACAAAGTTTTAAAATGAAATTAAGGTACAGCTGGCAAGGAGTAAATTCAACTTGTGTAATTGTGTGTCAGTGTTGGTAGGATCAAGTTTGTTTTATTTTGCAGTTACTATGGAAATGGGATGCCTCCAGGGCCTATGTATGGTCAAGGTGCTGGACCAGGTCCCTATGATCAAAGGGTATGCTTTTTTCTATGTGATTCTTTTGAATTTTTATGTTAAATATGCTTTGGCCTATTTTAGCCAATTCAACCAGTCTATTGTACACTTATTCATCAACTTATTCACCTATCCAAATGATGTACAAGTAATTTATGTATGTTGAATGGGATGGCTTCATGATGAGCATTTGTAGTATTTGTCAGTTCTTGGATGTGTTCTCACCTCAGCCCTCACCAAACTGATGGCATGATCACACATTGAACATGCTGATAGTGTGGATTGTTTCTACCATTATTGACTTCATTCCTCGATCAGCTCATTGCCATTTCATTTTGCTGATACAGTGTGTCAGGTGTAATAACTATTGTTTTGCCATGTGTTGTAGCCTCCTTTCAATGGTTATGGTGGGCTGAGGATGTCGGATGCAAGAGTAGAGGATCAACGTCATCAGTCCATGGATGAGGACTTTAGACTAGAAGAAAGACAAGATGAAAGGAGAGAGATGGTACCAAGGCATCCCTCAGATGGCCCTTCAAATCAACAGAGGCCTTCATACCCATACCCTCATCAGAACGGACCAAGATTCCAACCTAGGACTAAGCGTGAGTAAATATGAACATATGGATACCTGGGTTAGAATAGATCCCTGTTAGTTGTCATAAGTCTAAATTGATTTGTTCTTGGTCTTGGACAGTGCCCACCGGGCCAGAATGACCAAAGGGGGATTATGTCGTGGCGCAGTCCGTCCGTCTGTCCCACATAGGGTACTTAAGCTTGTGCAATCAACTCCTCCAGCTTTTAGAGAATATCCCTGACACTCTACACACATAATGTCGACGTGTTGATGATACACATATTGCAGTCCCGTTTCATTTCGACAGTGGCGGTTGGGTAGCCTAGTGGTTAAAGCGTTTGCTCGTCACACCGAAGATCCAGGTTCGATTCCCGACATGGGTACAATGTGTGAAGCCCATTTCTGGTGTCCCCCGCCGTGATATTGCTGAAATATTGCTAAAAGCGGCGTAAAACCTCACTCATTTCGACAAATTTTGACAGAATTACTGCCCCTGTTTTACGGAGCTTCATTTGTCTAATTGTGAGAGAGGTTACTAAGTTTGTGAAATCAACTCCTCCTACAGTTTAAAAGTGCACATGTTTAGTATATCCATATCACAGTCACGTTTCATAAAATACAAAGAAAGTATAAAGAAAATATAAACTCGTTAAAAAATTCCATTTTGTTCGAAGCAAATGCAAGTGATATGAATGGTGGTATATGATTGGTCAGTAGGGGGGACATAAGTCGTAAAAGTCACTGGTGGTGCTGCAATCGAGCCCAGAAATTCCAGCCTAACCGGTAGTTTGGCAAGGGTGGAAACTGGACTTTCCTCGGGAAGATGTGATCCCCAGTGTGTCAGCATTTTTCTAGCATCATCTGTCAGCATGTTGTTTCCCCAGGCCATCTGAGTAGTCACGCTTTGTAGAAACAATGACATCACAGGGCTTAAAATATATCTTAAACTCAGTTTGCAGTGCGTGAAAAGTAGATGTTATGTTGTACTTGTCATGCAATATTTTTCCCTGTTAAATGTTTTCCTGTTGTTCTCAGTTATTATTACCATTTTCTGTAATTAGCCTTTGTGTTGAGGGTATTTATAGCAGTCACTGCCAACTACACTCATCTCTACCCATTCAGCCATGAAGATTTTGTTTTTTTAAAATTCCCTTTTTTTTGAGCCTGTGTGGTAATCAAGTTATGGTATTTTTTAGCCCTGCATCACACTCTGTGGCATTATCTTCCAGCGAATAATACCATAAACATAATACTAGTACTTAAATTTGTGTACCCTATGTGTTTCAGAGGCACCAGGAGCTGGAGGCATCAGGTTTCAGATTCCAAAGAGAAACATGCGGGGCGGAGGTGGAGGTGGGCCAATGAAACGTTTCATGGATCACCGGTCAGTTAGGTCAATTGCACCTAACAGTGAAAAGCCTGAATCACCTCGTCAATCTCAACATAATGATCGTTTATCACCATCTCCTCAAACCAATGGAATTAGCTCTAAGGCTGAGTAAGTAGTAGTCTTATCATTGAGGTTGTTTCAGAGGCGGTTTTTTTGTGCTGTGATTTTGTTGGGATGCATTTAAATCTTGTTATACTATGCTTGTTTGATGCATTTTTATCGGATATAGGGGATATAGCGATCAGCCAGTCTGTCCGTCCGTAGCTATTTCCTTTTCCAGGGCAGAATTCCAAAACCATTCAGTGTATTTGATTGAAACTTGGCAAATCTATCAGGCACATACTGAAGTGGTGCCTTTTGATATTTTTGGATTTTTCTAATTTTTATTTTTAAAATTTTTATGGAATGAAGTTGGACATAGACTCAATTTATGGGGTTTGTTTCCGGGGTGGGGTATGTCATCTTTCTGATGACTCTTGTTTAATTAGTTTAGTGCACGTTGGTGTACGTTTCCATAGGTGAACATTGTTGTTTTTCCTGGTTCATATTTCATAGGTGAACATTGTTTTTCAGGAAAGCACAAATGGCAGCTGAATGGCCACCAACCCTGAAGTAAGTAGTCAGTAATTCTCTATTAATATCTTGCTTCCTGCTTAACAATAGCCTTTCAATTGTGATGACTCATATTTTTTTAATTTCTCGGAAAACACTTCATTGATATTTTTCTTATCCAGACATTAAACTGGTGTTTTTTTTCATAGGGCATATGTACAGAGGGCGTTTGCAAGTGTGAAAAATGATGTGATGAAAGACCAAGTTGAGTCATGGTTAAAAACTCACCTCACTCAATTATTTGAGACAGGACAGGCAATGACAATGGATTGGGACAATGAACCTTTGCCAACGTACGTTATTTTTTCCCTTGATGTGTTTTACATTATTTTCATAAATGGCGGGATATCGTATGGGCTTAAGTATCTATGCTCTTATTTTATTATGTTTGCAAGAAATTGAAATAACTGGGGTTCTTGGTCTGGGATATAGTTCTGAATACTGATTTATACACATGATACAAGCGTTATGTGATGAAATAAGGTTTTGTAATGCAAAGAAAATGTACTATTGTGTTTTTTAACATTTTACTGTCTTGTATCAACTTAGATTTTAAACAATTTTTGAAGCTACAATGAAAGTGCAACACCCATCATGCCATTAACATCAGTTATACCCAATGCAGTGTGTCCAGTACCTCGCCGAGCCATGGTCCAAAGGCTAAGAGAAGTAGATGGGAGTTAGGCATGGAGCAGGCCAGAGGAAGAAGGGGGCGTGGCATCCGGGGTCCATACACAAACAATAGGGTTCCCACCTACAGAAGGTCTAGGTCAAGATCACGCTCAAGGTCCAAGAGCTTCAGTAGGTCCAGGTCACGATCAAGGTCACCACCAAATCGTAGGAAAGGACGTCATTATCGGAAAAGGTATTCCCAAGTTTTAAGGCACAAAAACACCAAATAGTTTCTCAGCAAATTTAATGTTGTCCAAAATGGTTGGCTCATTGTTTGACCGCATGGTTTACAGAAAAACTTTCATCTTTCCAGAATAGTAGTTGATACTTTACTCTTATAGAAGTGTTGCAGTGTTCATGCTGGTTGCCGTGAACTGTACGTGTCAATTTGATGAATATTGACTTCGCCTCAACGTTGAATATTGTTTCAGTGAAAGCTCCAGTTCCTTGAGTTCAGATGAAGATCGCTTTTCAAATCCTAAAGATAAGAGGAAATTTGGCAAGTTGCCAAGTAGGGGGCGGGGTCGAGGTCGGGGAAGCAGAGGTCGAGGTGACAGTAAGGATGACAAAAAAGAAAATACCAAGTCTGTTGGCAAAAAGAATAAAAAGGGCAGACTGAGGTGTGTAGTTGACATTAAAATATGCAGCCTGTTTTTGAATGTCTCAAATCAGATATAATCAGATTAGATACACAAAATAGACAAACATGAATGTTATACTTATCCTGCAATACTCCTTAATGTATATACTGCAAGATAAGTATACAAATATAAAAAATATTATGATTTTAGTTATTCGACTAAACATCTCAAAGTTACAGAGAATGTATCGAAAATGCTAAGATGTATTAATCAATTTCGGAAGTTTCATTTTTGTTTTCACTTTTTTTCTTTTTAAGTGACATCAAGTTAGATTTCCATGATCCAGAAAAAGCAGCAAGAATGCAGAGAAGAGCTGCCCGTTTTGGTGCTCAGTTAGATGATGATACAAGCAGGACGCCTCGCCAGAAGCTGACATTAACAATTAACAACCTTTATGTAAGGGCATTCTTCCATCTCTCATGTATACGATTCACAGAGTTTGTTTGCACCTTAATGACAGGATAATATGTATCAGATATACTGTGCATTCATGTGTACTGTGGGCTCCAAATTTATGAGTCTTCCAGAAGGGAACGAATGCAAAATTAAGTGGTGATGATATGTCAGTTAGCTGTGTGTATCATTGTTGACACACTTTCATCATCATACAAAGTTTCTTCTAGATTCAAGAAGGTAAGATCCAGATATGTGTGGATCAGTATTTGCTGCAATGAATGTTGGTTCCTGTTGTACGTTGTCTGGAACGTGTATTTGTACGAACATGTCAGCTTTTTTATGTAGAGCGAAGCTGTTGTACAGAATTCCATGCATTGATACTAGCTAGTGACCCATCCCTTTTACTATGCCATATAATAAGCACCAGTGATTCAGTAATTCAAGCTGTCAGGACATGACACTGTCTTCTTAAGTAACATTCATAGCATAAAACAAGAGGTCTTGAAACATTGTTTGTCACAGTGTATGTCACATCTTCTTGCATTGCTGGGGTAAGCTTCTCATATTTATACATGGTTAAATCGTGTAAATAATACTTAGCTAGTAAGTCCTTAAGAAAGGGATTCTGGAAAACCCTTTTTATAGACATGAAAAGATAATGATAGATAATGTTTCCCTATTTAATGAATTTGTTAATATTTTATGTATTTGATTGCTTGTGCATTCATGTGTACTGTGGGCTCCAATCCAATGGGTCTTCCAGAAGGGAACGAATGCAATATAAACCCGATATCGTCATTGTGGTTGTGAAGGAAATCGTCATCATTTCCATATGGTGATCATCGTACATTAACACTTTTTCTCTATCAGTTTGAATAGCATTCAATAGTACAGTGGTATCCAATCCAGTGAGTCTTCCAGAAGGGAACTAATGCAATGTAAACCGATATCATCATTGTGGTAGTGAAAGAAACACTCTTCATTCCCATATGATGATCCTCATACATGAGTGCTTTTAATGGACACTATAATATTGGCTTACAACTAAGAAGTCACAGAGCTCAAGATAAGCTGCATGTTTGCATAAACAGAAATATACAGACAAATCAAATTCTTACGGATTTGTATGCAACAATAACTATATATATGCTATTTAAATAAAACTAATGCATATGTTACAACTATTAGATAAAACGATTGCATTTATTACAACTGTGAGATAAAATAACTATCAGCTGATTACGAAAATCACTTGACATTTTTTTTTTATTAAAGTTTGTGTGACAAACACAAATAACGATTGTTTCCAATGGAAAAGCAAATCATGCCTCGTCCATGTATCTTATACAGTCGCTGATTGGTGAAAAAAAATAGGCCTTTCTTACTGTGCTAGGTTTTGCACACAAACATTGCTCCTTGGAGAGGGAGCCTCAAGGCGCAGACGGGTATACTCTTCATTTAGTTTTAAATGATTTACAGGGATTGTTATGGAACAGGTTTCGAAATTACGATACCTAAATGTCAACAAATAAGTGGGTAAAGACAATGGGATACCAAATCAGAATCCAATCAAACCCCTGGGTAACATACCCAAATATCCAAAAGCAAATTAGTCATTCACTGAAATATCTTTATTTAGCTGGTTTTACAGTTTCAATGTCTTCACCACTTTGAATGGCATTCTTTTCATGTACATCTCACATGCCTATGTTACCATATTATACCCTGGACCTAAAAGGGCGAGGGTATTAAATTATACCAAGGAATTTTGTCCGTCAATCCTCCGGAGGACATGTTATGTGTATGACCTATAGCTTGAAAAGCACAACATAGGTAGGTGCAGTGCGAAGTTTGATTTCAATATTTGGATTTTCTGAAAAAAATACAGCTTATTCATTTTTTTACTGAAACATTTGTGTGACCTATAACTTGAAAACTACTGCGTGGATTCTTTTCCAAATTTAGGGAACAGTTTCCATACTAATAGAAGAGGTGTAGTGCAAAGTTTGTCTTTGATATGTGTACTTTCAGAAAAAGTATGATCTTTTTCAAGTTTTGAGCTTGGTCTTCAACATTTGTGCGACCTATTACTTATAAACTACTTCATGGATTCTTTTCCAATTGGAGGTACATTTTCTATACAAATAGAGTTTAAGTGGATTTTCTGATAAAATATTGCTGTTTTTTTTTCATGTTTTGAGCTTCGAAATATCTTGGGAGTCGAAGTCAAGGGTATTAGTGAGCCAAACTCACTTTTTGTCTTCTTTTACAATCGTCTTTCTTTCATAAAGTTTTCTGAAGTATTGATAGTTAACTTTCTAATTCTTACTTTGAAGAGCAAATTATTTTTGCCACATTATTATTTGGGTGTTGAAAACTTAAGTGCATTTTTTGCATGGTATATTGATGTAGGATAATATGGATCGAACAGACCTTATTAACTGATGATTATTGCTAGTATTTTCGTGTTTTCAATTTTCTTTGCATTCATGTGTACTGTGGGCTCGATTTCTAATGAGTCTTCCAGAAGGGAACGAATGCAATATTAACCGATACTGTCATTGTGGTTGTGATCCATCAATGGATTATTTCCATATGGTGATTGTCATACATAAGCACTTCTGAGTGTCATAATGTTGTCTCCCCCGTAGCCTAGGAAAAGTAGGATTCTGGTTTAGAATGGACCCCCTAGCAACCTATGCTTGTTGTAAGAGGCTAGTCAATGGATGGGTGGTCAGACTGTGATTTGGATGGTGTGATCATACCCGGAACCTGGATCATTGCTCACAATATCAATCATTAGATTGTCTTGTCCAGACTTGATTATTCACTGGCCACTGTCCTATAGATGAAGTATTGCTAAGTGTGGGGTCAAGCAACTAGACAAAATTGTTGATGTTTAACCAAACAATGTATGCCATACAGACATTTTTTGTTTTAGAGGCTCTTTTATGTTTTTGTTTCCATTCAAACTGAAACCATGAAATCCAGGTAGAGAATAGATCTTCAGCAACCCATGCTTGTTGAAAGCGGTGACTAACAAGATCGGGTGGTCAGGCTTGCTGACTTAGTTGATGGATGTCATCGTATCCCAATTGCACAGATCGATGCCCATGATGTCAATCATTGGCTTGTCTGGTCCAGACTCGATTATTTGCAGACCGCCTTCATATAGCTGGAATATTGCTGAGAAACAGACTATTCAAACTGGAATAATTCTTATTGTATAGGTTCAAAATACTGATAATCTTAAGATTGTTGAAATTGTTTTTGTTGCTTTTTCTTCTAATTTTATTATGGGTACATCTTTTCAAACATTGATTCTTGCAAAACAAATTATCATTAACCTCCTAACTCAACCTTTCCTTGTATACAACATATTTTAACATCATTGTTGTTTGGTCATTATTACATTTTTGGATAAAATTTTGTTTATAACCAGGATCAGATCAGCTTTTTACATTTTACAAAATTTGGCATTCAATAGTACTGTGGGCTCCAATCCAATGAGTCTTCCAGAAGGGAACGAATGCAATATAAACTGATGTCGTCATTGTGGTAGTGAAGGAAATTGTCGTCATTCCCATATGGTGACATCATACATTAACACTCTTTAATAGCCAACATGTCTCCCATCCCTTACACCTGTGATAACAAGTTTTCGTATTTTTCCAGTCAAGTGATGAGTTTGATCTCAGTAGCTGCCGTGTTGTTGGAACATGCACAAACCTGGAGAAACAGTACCTCAGACTCACATCAGTAAGTGTTGTAACTGACAAACTGACAAGCATACAGAATACAATAGTTGAAGTATGAAAGAATCAGAATTCAAAAGAAAATCTTGTTCATGGAGTGATGTAAATGTTTTCTGGGAAATAAGTAATTTGTGTTCACACAGATGTCAGCATGGTTAAACACGCTTACAGCCTCTCTTCATGTTAGAATGATTCATGTTCAGAAAGGGATATGCCAATTCCTTATGGGATCTCATCAGCTTTCTTGGACGGACCGCACCTACTTTTGCCCATGGTCACCTCAATTTTGAACCAGTAGACCTTTACCATTTGTGCTACTAAATTGGACTTGTGTTCTACCACCAACGTATATTAGGTTAAAAAGAATACTGCCCACTTCATCATGAAGTCCACCGCTTGTTTTGTTTTTATTTCCATTTAAAAAAACCCAAACAAGCAAAAAAAACACCCCAAACCCCTGCCTGCCCATACCCCGCACTAAATTTTGGGAAGTAATGCCTGAGAACCAATTCTTTTATTTGTTAAGCCTTAACATTGTCTAAACCTGCGTGATGTGTCTCCAGGCTCCCAGTGCTGGCACCATCCGCCCACCTTCTGTATTGAAGCAGTCCCTGAGGATGGTACAAAAAGACTGGAAGGAAAAGAATGACTATAGATATGCATGTGAACAGCTCAAGTCCATACGCCAGGATTTGACAGTAAGTTGTATTCTAATTAACATTTTTTTCAAAGGCTGTTTCAGTTATAATTCATTGGACTGACTTTTTTTCTGCTCCTTTATTTTATTTTTTGGTGTGTAATTCTTGGAATTATTTGAGCTGTAATTTTCAGGTACAAGGTATCAGAGATCAGTTGACCGTAGATGTGTATGAAACACATGCAAGAATTGCAATGGAGAAGGCAAGTACCCTTATTTTCTGTCAATTTTCTATTATTTGTAATGGTTAAACTGGTTATTGTATGGAGATTGTTCAGTATTAATGTTTGTGAACACACATAGCAATTCCAGCATTTTCATTTAACAGGGTGACCATGAGGAGTTCAACCAGTGTCAGACTCAGCTCAAACTGCTGTACCAAGAGGGGATCAAGGGGAACCATCTTGAATTCACTGCTTACAGGATACTCTACTACATCTTTACATCAAACACACTTGGTATCCTTTACTGTAATCAGGCCAGATACTGTTGCGAATGGATGTCTTCAGTGCTATATTATGCTTTATTTTATGTAACGACTGATCATCTGAGGAGAAGGCAGCTTCTCCCAGGTGTGGCTTCCACTATTCTTTCCTCTAGACAGTCAAACAACATACGTATCATAGGGTAAAAAATACCAAAAAGCTAATGTATGGGCTATTTATGAGAGAATCATAATTTTCCTTAACTCCATTTTCAGATTTGACCACAGTGCTTGCGGCTTTGTCACCAGAACACAGGGCAGATGAATGCGTCAAACATTCATTGTCTGTTAGGTCGTCATGGGCACTTAATAATTATCATTCTTTTTTCAAGCTCTACAGTAATGCTCCAAAAATGTCAGGCTACCTCATGGACTGGTTTGTTGACAGAGTTCGGAAGAATGCCCTCAAGACTATTGTTAAGTCGTACGTATTTGTAAAAACATTTTTCTTCTTGGTTATATTATGTTTGAAATTGTTTTGGCAAATTTTTCAACAAAAATTAAATTTTTTACTGAAACAGCCTATCACCAATTTTAATAGAATTTTAATGCTACAAAATCCCATTTTAAGAAATGGTGGGGCAGTGGGATAGCATATTGGTTAAAGCATTTGTCATGCCAAAGGTCTGGGTTCGATTACTCACATGGGTACTATGTGTGAAACCCATTTCTGGTGTCCCCTGCCGTGATATTGCTGGAATATTGCTATTAGCGGCATAAAACTTTCCTCACTCACTTTATGGAGTGGTTCATTTGAGTCGTGCCTCATTTCAATGGGTAAGTTAAGGGTGAGTAACAAAGATACATTCAGTAGTTTGTGCTCAATAAAGGTAAGTATTCTAGAACAATATACCATGATGGAGGTTGATTTAATTAGGTTGGTAAGTACATATGTTTAAGTATCAAAATGCTCTGGTAAGTAAAAGGTAATGCAGATGCTTAATTGTTTTCTAATGCCATGAATTTGTGTTTAACTCTTTGTCCTCTCTTCTCTTTTTCATCATTGGTGTGTCTACCATCCTGGTGTAACCACATGTGTAGGTATCGTCCCTTGCTGCCTATTAGTTTCATCAAGAGTGAGTTAGCGTTCCCTGACCAGGAAAAGGTCATGGAATTTCTTAAAGAGAAGGGTGCTGTATTAAATGCTGAATCAAGCAAGGTGGACTGCAAGCAATCCAGTACAGCTGTCCAGAGCTGTTAGTGGTGGCTCATACACCCATGTGTCCGAGGATAGGGGCACAGTTTAATTGCAGGAAGTGTTTTCTCGTCAACATGGCTAACAGCTTTTGCCATGAACTTTGATTTGCCTGGAAGATACCAAAGCTCCAGGAAAGAGGAAGGGTCATTGGGTGGGTGGGTGTTTAATTGGGATAAATTGATGTTTCATGTGCAGAAGTTGAAGATGCAACAGAAGACCCACAGATGAACTTTGATATTTCTTGCAAGCGTTTGTCCCTGTTTCTTGAGGAGTGTTTGCTATGCTTACAGAAGATTTGCAATTGGGATCTTTGGTGGAAGCAAAAGACTATTCTTGTTGCATCTTTGCTCAAGAAGTATTTTTTTAGTTTTATTCAGGTGAATTATTTCTTTTTGCCAAGCATAAATCTTCCAAAGTTTAAAGAAGAGGGATAGGTGTACAGTGCATACGGTATGAACAATATCCTTTTTGAGAAGTCATGTCTGGTGTTTGGAAATCTTTTGATGTATGATTTCGGGTAAGCTAAGGCGATATTGGCCATTAAGGTTCAATCTGCAATCTTTCGTGTTTTTGATGAACTTTATGATAAAAATCGAAGAAGGATCAAATATCAAGATGAAGAGGACCTGTTTCCTTTGTTTTTCTGAAGACCAATGCTGATAAGTAGTTGGGTAAGCTGTTTATAAAGAAGGTAATCCAGTCAAGTGCCCTTAATCTTCAATGTGTTTTGGAATTAAAGTTTTGAAAATCATTTTCAAGAAGTAGGTTCCAGCCGTGCTATGGAAGTCAAGTCTTTCTGTTCCTGATGTTAAAAAGTGACTCTTAATTTTCTAAGGACTGGGCTGTACCATATATTTTTGGAAGCGATGAAGGGAATAAATCAGTCGGTTGAAGAGGATTAATCCCATGCCAGCTGTTTCATGCAAAGAATCAAGTCAGTCCTCTGGTCTTTGATGTCTTCAAGAAGTATTCTTTTATGGCTTCATTCAACAAGTTCAGGATCAGGATGGAGCCCACTACAGGGAAACAAGTTTTACGGGAGTGGTTTGGGTATGATTGGGAAGGGGGTTGGTGGGAGGGGGAGCAGCAGCAGCAGGTGGTCTTCACCGTTCGAAAGTTTCATATCATTGTTTGTTCTTAATCTTTCTTTCTGCCATGTATGTGCAGGTTTTCAGCATCAGTGAAGAAGAATCAACAGATTTTGAACATTATGAGATATCTGTATGAAGAAGTGCTAAGATTAAGTTTCTGAAATCCATAGTAAGAATGTGGACTATTTCAGATGATCCAAGATTAAATAGCCACCAGCAGTTATACATAATCCTGTGAAATGATCTACCTATCACATCTAGTTTCTTGATTAGTGAAATTGTTTTGTTAGCTTTCAAACTATGACATTAGTGATTCCTTGTGGAGTTGCCGTGTTGACATCCTGTGATATTTTCTCAACTGGAGACATAGACTCTACTTACAGCCTTCAACATTATGTATATTTATTTTACATGTATAATGTTGTAGGGTTCTTTTTCATGTACACATATTGATTATATTTATCAATAGGTATTTTTTTCCAGAGATAGATTAGTGTACATATTTGTACATAAAATAAATCGTGAAGCTAATCAAAGTGTTTTGTTGTTAAGTGTTACGTTACTGAGTTTCATGTTGATTTTCTGTTTCTTGTCAACAAGACCGTCAGAAAAAAGGCTCCGTATTGTCATGCTCATTCGTTATGGTACAGTTACCATGTTCCTGAATTGCCTCATGACTTTAACAACTGGTTTTGGTATGTACACAGACGTAGTTACAAACTATAAGCAATATTATAGTGCAACAGTTTCACCCCGGCAAATGTTTAAGTGGTACCCACCAGATGTTGAGTAAAGTTAAGCTTGTTAAAGCACCTGGTATGGGCAGACATTTCCCAGTCTAGATTAATTAACACAGTATTAAATTTATTGTTACATGAACCTTGCTTTCAGTATCAATCATATCTATATATGAAACACTTGCATCGTTGTAGACATACTTCGATATTCATAATTCCCTACCCACATAAGGTATTAATTATCCGATTCCAGCAATTACCTGTTTGTGTACAAGTTTTCAGCATTCAATGAATGTCCTGTACCAACATGTTTGTAAACGGCTCTACTACTTTGAGATGTGTGTTATTTTCAAACTCACATTTGTCCTGAAGACAACGGAAACATTGGTTCGCACATGATGAAAATGAATTATTGTGGTACAATGTCCACGATCTGCTGTAAATGCAAATAAATACGTGTAAATAAAGTAATTGAATTATTGCTGTTGTCATTTTTGAAGGTTCTAAGAATGTTGAAAACGGTGTTCAGTATTTACATTTATTGGTTTTTCATTCAAACACGAACAAAGGACTACTTGAAAACGTTTCAAAATACATGATAGAGAACTTTGTACATAAGAAACAGTTACTGTGATCAAGGAATGTAGATTGTGCCAGTGGTTTGGAAGTGAGGAACGCTATTTCAAACACTTTTATTGGTAAGGAAGACTAAATTCAAACATGTTGCTAACTGCTATGTTTGACAGGCAATGCTTTTAAGGTATTCGGCATTCATGTGTTGGTCAAATTCCTTATGTGCTTACTGTTGAGTTATTTTCGAACACAGTATACAACTCTTACAAGCTTTCTGCAGAACCAAAGCTTTTCCTCCCAATACCCAACCTTTATCATACCACATATATCACTCACAGATCAACATACCCTTCAGATCCGATTGATCATACAATGTTTATATCCGACATGTCGCCATCAGTGGGTGTGGTTGTATTACCTGACGAATGTCAATCCGTGCGAAAACGAAACCGGATTGTTCGCACTGAGATTCACATCAGCGTGGAATAGAATGCTCTATTGTCATATTTCGTCAAGGGCTTACAGATTTCTAAATGTTGAGGGCCAAATTGCTGACACATTGGATGGATCCTTGTCGACATTCAACTTTGATTTCCACATTGAGATGTGTGTATTTATGGTGGCGCAAACATGATCCAGGTGATGCCGACTACACTTTTGAAATGTTTAATGTTCCATATGGTGGTAAAAGCACACGACACAAGGCATAATTCTGTGGAGACGATATAAACACACAAGACCATGGTCCGTGTGACCACAACCTTTCATTCAATTCTGACCAGACGAAACAACCGTGATGAAATCCAGGGTCGATGTATCCGATAAGAAGATTATCACTAAGTACCTTGACCACTTTGGGCAACCATTTGATTTGGCTTACTAGCCATAATTCTCGACAAAGCGTTCATGTTTCGTTTCACCTTGAAACGATAGACCCAAGGGGCGTCTTTTCTTGGCAAGATTTTCTTTGGTGGGGGCAAACACGTTAGATCATTGTAATCGGCAGCCCTATCTGACGCAACATTCGGGTACAAAATGGGGGTTTCCATGTAGTCGGGAAGACAGAAATGTTCCTGATTTGAGTTGTTTGGCATTGCGAACCTTTCTTGAAACTTTACCCCTGACTCGGGAAATCTGACCCCAGGCTCTGGAAATCTGACCCCAGGCTCTGGAGACTTAATGCTAACTTTGATGCCCTCTTCTGCCTCTCGCTCAAAAGCAGAAGACTTATCTCTCGTTCGTGTACTCGACTTTCTTGTCCTGCTTGATCGATTTGACCTTGACGATAGACGTCCCGACGTTGACTTCTGTCGAGTACTGGATGACCTTGCTGGTTCCAATTGAAGGTCAGGAAGCTGCAAATAAAGATTTGTATTTGATATTGATGTCAAGTTGTAACCTCGAAAAGAACATTTGAAACGACCAAACAACGAATATTGAAAACAAATATAGATTAATTGGAACTTGTATTCTCAAAAGATATAACTGAATAGTTGGCTTCAAAGTTCTTGTTTTAAAGTCTCGCTCATTGTCATATTTTATAACTCGATGTTTCATTTCCATCTAACTTAGAGTGGTCCTAGTATCAAATACCAGATTGGATATAGGATTAGCTAATGATCTATTATAATAAAAGCGACAAAACCCTTCCCATAATCGTAAGAAGTCCATTCCTGTTCTACCGGTGATGCCAATCACAAACACATGGAAAGGCAAATGGTGTTCAAGATTATTGCTCTTCTTTTCACGTGTGTGGCTGCTCTACTAATGCAGGTTTTATAGTGCTAGTGCACTGAAATACCACACCCAGACACAGTAGATCTATACTGACACCGAGCCGACCAGTCCTTGTTTTATAGTCCCTTAATGGGAGCGCAAGGCATGGTAACATGTACCACTTTTAACGTCTTTTCGAACCAACGAGCAATCCCTTTCCAGGCAGATCCTCTATCAACTAGACCACGGATCCAGCACGGGAACATATAGTACAAGTCACAATAGACAATTGTCCTCCATATTTCTAGCTTAACAGTTTTGAAACGAAAGCTTTTGAATGGCGTGTTAAAGAAACATTCAATGGCTAGCCTGAATAACTTGCCTGTTTTTACCACATAGTCGGTCTCAGGAGAGATAACTTAGACAATATAAATGTCAAACTCTGACACCAACAGAAATACCCAATTTTTAACACTTTATACAAATGGGATGTTATGTTGCATTGCATGATTACACACTCGTGCGCACACACACACACACACACACACACAAATGTGGCGTCGTCATATAGTTGGAATATTGCTGAGTGCGATGTAAAACAACAAACCAACACACAAGTGTTCTGCCAGAACGTATCGTAAAATATTGATCATAATATCGCCTGGACCCTTATTTGTTTTATCTACAAGTAGTAGTATATCTACCACCGTTCTTTGACAGTCTTATACCAGAGGACGGGACGGAGATTACAACTGACATATACCACAATTCAGTGATAATTTAGTCCACCTGTTTCACTCAATGTAGTGTAGAACTCAGAGGACAGTTTAATCTTTTGTATCTGAAAATAATTATGATCTCTGATACAATAAATCCATCCGTGGAGACAGAACAAGTCTCCATTCTCCGAATGTATACATTAAGGGGGCTGGTTGTGAATGACACGGTCTCTCGAAGACTTGACCTAGTGCTCATACTGTTAACCTTTGGTTTGTTTGAGCCAGGCTCGACAAAGTGTAGATATATCAAGTTGACAACGAGTTATTTTAAAACCGACCCACAGTTTAGTTTCACTTTCAGATCATATCCCAATGGTGACTGGCAACAAATACGCATGGCTGATGTATGCTGGGCAAAAGAAAGTATACACTTGGAAAATGGATTTGACCAAAACATTACAAACGTTATTATAATGTTACTCGGATGAAAACAGTCGCCGAAACACTGCATACGGAAGGCGCAAAACACCATCAAACATGAATGGATACTTGTCTTTTGTCCGGCAGTGTATTTATGTTCATTTGCCTACTAAAAGGATGTTCTCACTGGACTAGTTTTAGCAGTATAGTTTAAGATGATGGCAGGGTCTCATCAGCCAGATACATCAAGACATCAGTGCTACGCCAGAAAGTGATTGTAAAACGTACTGTGGTAAGATGAACTGATGTGTGACACTTTAATAAAACCATTTTCTCTTTCACGATTAATTGGCTTCAACCGGGGCCTTACAGGATTTGTTAACGCACGGTAGTCAAAGGTATACACGATACCTGGTCCACAAAGAGTGGGCTGGCCCGTCACTGATGGCATTATACAAGCAAATCAATTCCGAGTGAACGAAACTGCCCAAGGGACGCCAGTACAGAAGTACGCCTACAGCTGTATGCTGTAACACATTGACTATAGGGCAGCCGGAGCTAGCCGGCTGTAGTACAAGGGAAGTATGTTCACTGAGTGTGATATATACTGAACCAAATTTAAAACTTCACAATCCTAACATTTTAACATTTTGACCAGTTATCATTGTGGGCCCTTATTGTGTATTTAAACAGTAATGGCCACGTATTGCCTTCAGATAACACCCGTTTTTGTGCAGGTGAATCGATCAAAATCATGTGCACAGCACTATAGTGGCAAAAGTGGTTTTTCACGTGCAACTGGTCACGTGGCCATACTACCGCACGTGTTTTCAGCCATACTTGTTAGCAGTCATTAACAAAAAAAGAAAACCACAAGAAAACAAAAGTCTTTACGGCCATTTGTCATGCCACGCCTTTCAAATGTGCAACGTGAACGTCCGTAGCTGAAGTCGCAAGGACGATGGGTTGTAGTCGACGGACTGTTTGTGATTTACATACGCGTCTACAGCAAACGGGTACCACCGCTGATCGCCCTCGGCCAGGTCGACCATGTGTGACGTCACATGCAGATGATCGTCAGATTGTCTTACGTCACCTCCGTAACCGATTTTTGACGGCTACATCAACCAGGAACTGTTTAGGGGTAGACTGAGTGCGCAAACTGTTCGAAACCGTCTGAGAACTGCTCACCTTCAAGCACGACGGCCATACTGCGGGCCGATTCTGACTCAATTACACAGACGTCAACGTCAATTGTGGGCACAGCGACACTTACGATGGACTCAGAGGGGGGAAACAAGTCGTCTTCAGTGATGAATCCCGATTTAATCTTCGATTTGCTGATAGTAGGGCGAGGGTGTGGAGGCGCCGTCATGAACGTTACGCCCAGTGTTGTGTACAGGAAGTTGACAGATTTCGAGCCGGAAGTGTCATGGTGTGGGGTGCTTTCTGTGGCAATGCACGTCCCAGGCTTTTTGTCATCCGTGGCAACCTCAACGCTGCTGCTTACCGCGACCAGGTACTGGCACCAGATCTTCTGCCTTTTATGGCAGCACATGGACCCGGCTTGAACCTCCAGCACGACAATGCCAGACCCCACACAGCAATTTTGACAAGGAATTTCCTTCAGAATGCGGGAGTCAACGTCATGGACTGGCCGTCAAGGTCTCCCGACCTCAATCCCATCGAACACGTCTGGGATGCTCTTTGTAGAAGTCTGCGCACTCTCCAGAACCAACCAAGATCTTGGCACCATTTTGCAGAAACAATGGTGTCGTCTTCCCAATCATGTGTTCACAAGCATCACAAGGTCCATGCGGAGGCGTTATGTGGCAGTTGTCAACGCACATGGTGGCCATACACGCTACTGAACTTGTGTGCCATCAGATTCTCGTGCTTGGGACTTATGATTTAAACTGTTGATGTTATTACCGAATACCGTAGGTGCTTGGAACAAATTATGGTTACCACCGTTAATTAAAATCCTTCTTTGGACATTAATGATTAAAAATTACCTTCTCTAATACATTTGTCTGTTGTATATCATATATGGGATTACTTTTAAAAATGTGAAGTTTTTAATTTAATATCACAGGAGTTGTTTCAGTGTTACATTCTTTTCCGTGGGACAGACATACGGGTGTGAATACCCGTGTAGGTATTGGTGTTCTGTAAAGTACACAGGAGTACTGTTGAAATCCCCCAGATTATCAAATGGTCGGTCCCCAAACACCAAAGGTAAACATGAGCATACTTCATACCTCGGTGGTAGTGTGTCCACGTACCCCGATGGCGTGTGTCGTTGCTCAAAGTCAGTCGCTGGCCAGTCGCTGGTCAGTTGTTGGTCAGTCGCTGGCCAGTCGTTGGTCAGTCGTTGGTCAGTCGCTGGCCAGTCGTTTGTCAGTCGCTGGTCAGTCGTTGGTCAGTCGCTGGTCAGTCGTTGGTCAGTCGCGGTCAGTCGCTGGTGAGTTGTTGGTCAGTCGTTGGTCAGTCACTGATCAGTCGTTGGTCAGTCGCGGTCAGTCGTTTGTTAGTCACTGGTCAGTCGTTGGTCAGTCGCTGGTCAGTCGCTAATCAGTCGTTGGTCAGTCACTGGTCAGTCGTTGGTCAGTCGCGGTCAGTCGTTTGTTAGTCACTTGTCAGCCGTTGGTCAATCGCTGGTCAGTCGCGGTCAGTCGTTTGTTAGTCACTGGCCAGTCGTTGGTCAGTCGCGGTCATTCGTTTGTTAGTCACTGGTCAGTCGTTGGTCAGTCGTTGGTCAGTCGCTGGTCAGTCGCTGGATTGTCTGGTCCAGACTGCTGCTGAGCGCGGTGTTCAACAACAACTACAATCAACTTCGGATGTGACGAATTTCCAGGGGCCGTCGTGTAAGCAACGAATTTATTTTGACGTCTCACGTCGAGGAAAACATTTATTAGCAACCATCCCTGCAGGTCAAGACAACGGCTCCTAGCAGCCTAAAATGCGTTTCTCCCAGTGTTTACTATTTCTGTCGGAACCAGATATCTTCATGTTGTAAGTCCATCTTGATAGCGATATATTGGTACAAAGCGTGGACATTATTGAAATCAATACATATGCAGTCCCGGTAGAATTCGGCCCAAGGGTTAAATATCAGTATCCTACGGATATCTCGAATATGTATTCGAATTAACGGGGTTATCTACTCTTCCCAGCACTTCGAGTGAACGGGGTTCATTTCTCTTCCAAAGCACTTCGAGTTCCATACTTCCTCTACATATCTCCAGCTGGTGTTGTCACAGCTAGACAACTAAGTCTGTCGGAGGACGCCACGGACGGTTTGTTCACTTGTGCTGTTCTGTGAAGCCCCTTTCAGCTGATTACAGTAAACCCTTCCACCGTGCCGCCATTAATTGGCTTTACGAAATAAGGGTATTGATGTCAACCGTCATCTATACAATAAAACGTGACGAGTAAGGTAGTCGACCGCGAACATATCTGAAAAGTACGATAGCGAGATCAGGTTTCTTAATGTCGTT